TTGCTTGTGCTGTAGACTCCTGCGGAGTTCTGAGCTCAGAACTCCTAGACCTGTGACTTAAGAAGGAACCTTCTTAGTGCACCACTCGCTCGGTGAACGCTAAGTTGACATCACTTCATAATTATACCCACCGGTGGATATACGCTGGTAGGTATACCTCTTGGTGGATATACGCTGGTAGGTATACCTCTTGGTGGATATACGCTGGTAGGTATACCTCTTGGTGGATATACACCCCCCCCCAGGGTAGATGTAGATCCACAGACACCCCCCAGGGTAGATGTAGATCCACAGACACCCCCCAGAGTAGATGTAGACCCACAGACACCCCTCCTCCCCTCGGTAGATTGCTACCGTATTTGAAAAGGATGTTTTCATTATATTGGTCCAGCCGAAGCCTGAATTCGTCAAGTATTTCCACAACTCTTACGAAACATATACATCTTTCCTTTTTCGTGACGGCCGTTTATATATAAACATTGTATGAGGCCGGAAGCACTAGGGAGGTTGTTTATAACAATAAAAACCTTGGGTTGTGAAGTTGTCAATCTCGTAAACTGTTTAATAAATGGAAATAAAACCCCGCCATGATTGGAGAAAGATGCACAGGTTTCGTAAATGGTCGCCCAGGTGTTTGACGAATCGTGACCCAGTTCAGGGAATACAAACTGACAATTTAAATTGTTGTGTCACATGTGTCAAATAGTGGACACAGGTGCTTGAACACTTGTATCCGCCACCTGTGTACATATATATGACCCCATCACCTGTGTACATATATACATGACCCCATCACCTGTGTACATATATATGACCCCATCACCTGTGTACATATATACATGACCCCATCACCTGTGTACATATATATATGACCCCATCACCTGTGTACATATATATGACCCCATCACCTGTGTACATATATATATGACCCCATTATATACACATCATATGATGTGTACACATCATATGACCCCCCCCCCACACACACACCTGTGCTCAGGGATGACGCAAAGTATCTATCATTGTTGTTACAGACACTTACGGAATCGACATATCCGTTAAAAACGCGACGAATTGTTAAAACCCAAAGCACAATAATATTGACGCTTCCTACTCATCGAGCTGCAAAGGTTAGGTTAGGTTCAATTTCACCTTTGTCGCTCTCAGAGAAGTGAAATGTTTCCCATTTAGGCAGTGTATGTAAGCGCCCTGGTACAGTGGGTCCTGGTCCAAGACCAACTCTGTCACTCCCGATATGCGAACATTTATCTAACACCACCCAGCAGGCAATCTTTACCTTCCCTCGCCCCAGTTCGAGTCCCGTGTGTTCTAGTTTATGTCTGTCGAGCTGCGTAACCCACTGTGTTACGGGCTACTCATGCCCAAGCCACCTCTTTGAGGGTGGCTTAATCTTCATCAATCAACCAATACCCGCTGTGGTCCAAGAGCATGAGGTTCCTCGCCTCTTATTAGTTACTAGAGAAAACTTTTTGACTATAATCACTTCTCGTGAAGCACATTGAGGTCGTGAACTGTTGTAGATTTTTTTTTTTTAGGACGAGAGAGGATATTTACGAAGGAATGCGAACAGCAAAAGATCATTCAGTCCCAGCGAGAGGTCATACAGTATGCCAGTCACAGATGTGAAGTAAATGACTAATTCCGATACATTTGTTTAACTTTATACATTATTATTCTCAGTTACATCCAATATTAATCCATATTATATTATATATATGCATATATATACACATATTATAATGTTTACAAGTTAAAGAAAACAGGTTACAGTCCCGCTCCTGTAATAAGTTCACTACGGGCTCACCATAGCCCGTGCTACATGTAACTCTCTGTTCCCAGTACCTGAATCCAAACCACCAACATTGAAAGAAAAGTATTTTGTTTTGCTGTCAGACGGTATGTACCTACATAAATCTCTCACGTCTTGACCAGGGGTGACTAAGGTCTTGGGCGGGTTCCCAGGGGGGGAGGGGAAGAGGGTCAGTGACTCCTGGTGCAGTTAGTAACTGCAATAAAGATTTGCTCCAAGTATTTCATTATTTTCTTCACTCCTTCTGGCCAAGATAGACATGTAATGTCTCTCACCGTAAGTTGTTGTTGTTGAATTAGGGGCGACGACGATCGTGGGATCGGATGCGCCCCGGCGTACCCGTGTAGGGTTAATAGCAAAGCCAGGAAAAGTGAAACGCTAAGCCAAATCGCGAAACGAGTGACACCAATCACTGGAAACTAATATGCCTCGCGGCAAGGAAACGCAGACAGGCAGATGATTGGGGAGCCCCAGGAGTCCCTCAGGGGAGACAAGCATCGGCCCCGCCACACAGAGAACACTGAGTAGCAAAACCAAAAACTCGGCCCCAACTAAAACGCAAAAGTCATCCAGTGCCCCGCGGCAGAGCACAAGCCAGCCGCCCACCATGATTCAGGGCACACCAGGAGCCCACCAAGACCCGCCAACTCTCGGCACCTCTCGGCCAAGCCGGCGCCGGACACCGTCACCCCGCCGGGAGAGCCAGCCAGAACACGTCAAAAAAACAAAAAACTACCAACAATCCCGTGACCCAAGGCGATATGTGCGCCAGGCGTCGTACAACCGGACCCTTAAATAGGGATGCCAAACGGCAGTATCAAATCCAAATCGCAAAACAAAACATGACCTGGCGGCTCCCAGTCGTCCAGACGTCCGCTCGGCGTCAAGGTTGAACCTGGAGTCCTTTCACCATAAGGGACTGTATACCGGGCCGGGATAAACCATATGATGCGTACAACAATATGGCGGAATATTTGCGGGTTCACGTAGTAGTAGGCTTCGACGGAACACTACGGCTGATCATGACACTGTCGATCAGTATCACTAAGGCAGAATGAGACGTATCTACTCTCACCTATATATACTGGTGACCCGCCAACACCTGCTTGGTGCCCCGAGCAGCTCCAAAGGTCAGTTGGGTTCCCCACACCCCAGCATGCAGCCCGTCCTCCAAACGAAGACCCAAAAGTGATTCAATGCACCCGCCAAACCCCCTGTTTATGAATAAAAAACGGTTTACACACGACTTACAACTGATTTCGTTCGAACACTTCCGGAACAAGTGCTTCACTGACGAATTTTGTTCGAACCACAACGCTGTAAATGCTTCACCCACGTACTACAAATACAAATAATCACCAACAGAACCTAAACACTTAACCTAACCTATCCTATGCCTATATATACACAATATGCTAATATATTATAATATAAATTTATCTTTGAGAAAATTCCCGGTTTGAATGAACAGCATGTATAAATTGATGAATGCGTCTGTGGGGTCGACCACTGGATGTAATGGACTTGAGTCGAGGACGGGTTGCAGCGTGGCCTCGTCTGGGAGAAATGACCCCTCTGAAGGTGGCGAGAATACTCAACAAGCAAAATTGTAATTAATTTTGTCAATAAAGATGTTAATAATAATAATAATAACAATGTGCCCGATCTGATAACTAGCGACCACCGCAAGAGGCCCGTTGGCCCATACTAGTCTGGTCCCAGTTAGATCCACCCCCCCCACCCTCCCTCCGCTCTCCCATATATCTATAAACCTATTTTTACATAGATTGTATTTTTGAAACCTGTGCTAGTTGGCAGCCCTGTTCTCAGAACAGTACTACGCTATATTCCCAGTGAAACGCAGTTTATGTGGCTTGACCTATTATTGCGGGTTGTGACCCCCTAGCAACACAGTTATTGTGGCCTCAGCCCCCCTCGCCTCTCTGGGGGAGACGCGTAAATGGAGGTTGTAGATATTGAAAAAAGAAAGTGAGGATAAGGATAAGTAACAAGTGGCCACCACGGAGGTAGGTTAAACTTGGCCATCGCTAGAGCAATGTATGACACCACAAACATTATGCTAAGGTGGCCACCACAAGGACAGGCCAAAGGTGGCCACCACAAGACAGCTTACACAAGGACAAGCCGACACTGTCAATGGGGTTTCCAGCTGAAATTTCCCCACAACACATTTCGCACCTCTGGTATATAATAACCCGCCAGGCTGGACAGGTGTGTCCTTGTAACTACTACACCATCTCTCACTGCACATGTGTATCCCTGCACAGGGATACATATGTGCAGTGGGAGGTGGTGTAGAGGTTACAGGGATACACATGTGCAGTGGGCGGTGGTGTAGGGGTTACAAGGACACACCTGTCCAGCCTGGCGGGTTATTATACACCAGAGGTGCGAAATGTGTATCCCTGTTACCCCTACACCACCTCCCACTGGACAGGTGTGTCCCTGTAACTCTTACACCCCCCCCAATGGACAGGTGTGTCCCTGTAACTCCTACACCACCCCCCAATGGACAGGTGTGTCCCTGTAACTCTGCCACCAAGGTTACATTGTAGATACAATAAATATACACCGTGAAGCGGAATACATCTTTCAGTACACACAATGGCTCCGTCTTACTGGAAAACTATGTATTGCGTCACTGCTGACTTGCCACTATTCTGTGCGTGTGTTGCTCAACTATCTTGTACTCCTCATACAAAAATAATTTCACTTAGTTAAAAACTATTATTGTCCGAGGAAACAGGAAGTTTGTAGTGACGACGACATCTGTGTGCTCCCAGGCCACCATTATGTACTCTCTAAATTTTAATATAAGTAAAGGCGATTAAATAATTATCAAAACATGGCGCCAGGCGGTAGTAGAGGTAAGGAGATAGACATTAACAGGTACAGAATCAGTACAGAAACTGTTGTCAGTGAAATAACACTGGCAAAACATATCAACAAAATGCGGTTAAAAATTGCCCCAACTACCAAAAAATAATAAAAAAAATTGTAATATATAAATCAGTTTGACAACGTATAATATTTTCTGTTCACGTCACGAGAGAGCGTCCCCGAGTCATGAGTTACTGACCACATTCACATCCAGCGAGTTATACATTCCATTATACTAATGTACTCTGACACACACGCGATAAACAAATCAATTTTTAGTATATTTATTTTTATTAGTTACAAAAAGCTATATACAAAATACAAGAATGAAAAATACATATGTATGATGACAGGGTGGAACAACCTGTGTGTATAGTATTTATGCAGTAAGAACCAGACTGCAAAGGAATAAATAACGGTTCAGTATCCCAAAAGGTCAGGAATTATGAGGAGTCAGGCTTGGGCTGGGGAGCTGCTGAAGGACCTGGAAGGGATGCTTCTTTGGGCGCCGAAGCTGCTGCGGCCCGCGATGGTGCTCTGCCCCTGGAAGGTGCTGTGGGCCGCGATGCTGCTGTGGGCCGCGATGTTACTGTGGGAAGGCTGTGCGAAGCCGCTGACGATTGCGACTTTGAAGATTCATCAGATTTCTTGACTGCAGACGAACCGAAATGCTGAGGAACTCCAAATTGTGGATTCTGGAATTGTTGTGGTACAAACTGCTGGCCGCCAAATTGCTGTGGTACAAATTGTTGTCCTCCGAATTGCTGTGGTACAAACTGCTGTCCACCGAATTGTTGTGGCACAAATTGTTGGCCTCCGAATTGCTGTCCACCGAATTGCTGCGGTAAGAACTGTTGGCCTCCGAATTGCTGTGGAGAAAACTGTTGGCCTCCGAATTGCTGCGAAGGAAACTGTTGGCCTCCGAATTGCTGTGAAGGAAACTGTTGGCCTCCGAATTGCTGTGAAGGAAACTGTTGGCCTCCGAATTGTTGGGGAACAAATCGTGAGTCTGCTCCCTGTTGTGGGGTCAGTTGTTGTTGAGGGAAGAACTGTGGCAGGGACGATTGCTGTTGGGCTGCAAGGACTTGCTGTTGCAGCTGCTGGATTTGTTGCGGAGTCAGTTGTTGATGCTGTTGGATTTGTTGCTGGAGCAGTTGGAGCTGTTGTGGAGTCAGCTGCTGGAGCTGCTGGATCTGTTGTGGCGTCAGCTGCTGAAGCGTAAACTGTGGTGCTTGTTGGGCGAACCGGTTGAAGCCTTGAGGACTCTGCTGCTGGAAGAACTGTGGCTGTGGTTGCTGTGAGAAGAACAATGACTGCGGTTGCTGGGAGACGAGCTGTGGGCGAGGCTGAACGGGTGGTGGTCGAGGATGGGAAGTTGGTTGGGATGGGAATAGATTAAAAGTCCCAGCAGGTAACCTGGGGCTTCCCTTCTTGGCCGCTTCCGGCGACCCGTTAACGAAACCATCCTGGTTATCATCCTGCGAGAACCCACCATCCTGGGGAGTCTGGGGCCGAGGGAAAGATGGGGGGAATTTCGGCTGCTGGCGATTGTCTGGAAATTGTGATTGCGGAGAGAACGGAGACTGTGGGCGAGAGGCAAACTGCGACTGGGGACGGGGTGGAAACTGTGGACTGGACGAAGACTCGGGAAGAGGCCTAGGACGTGAGAACTGGAACTGGGTTGCTGGTCGAGGAGTAACCTGAGGTTGGGTCTCTGTTGGAGCAATAAGCGGGGTTTGGGGCTGAGCATTGGCGCGGTGGTTTATCTGAGGCTTGGGTCGGGCTGGGAACTGACTGAACTGTGGACGGGGAGTAGACTGAGACGGGGACTGAGGTTTGAACGGGGATTGAGGCTGGAACTGGGGTTTAGGCTGGAACTGGGAGTTAGGCTGGAACTTGGAGTCAGTCTGGAACTGGGAGTCAGGCTGGAACTGGGAGTCAGGCTGGAACTGGGAGTCAGGCTGGAACTGGGAGTCAGGCTGGAACTGGGAGTCAGGCTGGAACTTGGAGTCAGGCTGGAATTGGGAATCAGGCTGGAATTGCAGAGGTTTAGGTGGGAACTGGTGGTCCGACTGGAACTGAGGTTTAGGCTGAAATTGGGGCTTAGGCTGGAACTGGGGGTCAGACTGGAATTGGGAATCAGGCTGGAACTGGCGGTTAGGCTGGAACTGGCGGTTAGGCTGGAACTGGGATTTGGGCTGGAGTTGGGACTCAGATTGAACCTTGGGATCAGACTGGAACTGAGGCTTAGGCTGGGACTGAGGTTGAAACTGGGACTCAGACTGTAACTGGGGCTGGGGTCTGCGCCGAGGACTAAACCGCCGCCTGGAAGGACGCTGAGATTTGCGTGTCTGCTCTTCGGGAAGCACTTCAGGAAGAGTTTTTTTGGGCGGCAAGTCAGGCTCAGCCTCGAAGCCAGTAGTACCATTGCTAGCGGCATATTCGACGACCTTCAGCTCACCTAGGTCGTCGATGTAGCCGTACTTGCCCTTGACGTTGCCAAAGCTGTCGCGGTTTTCGATCTTGAAGGTCCCATCGGCTGCCTCGAACCCGAAGGTGTAGGACCCGTCTTCGTTGATTTTGTTTATGTGCCGCAGGATCGGGACGACGGTGGTGTTGGCGGTGTCCGCAGACGCAGTGTCTAGGTCCTCTGTGGTCTGCTCTGTCTTATCCTCGAGGGCCCAGGTAAACGCCAACAGGCATGTTAGCATGAACTGGAAATATGTAAATCCATTATTGGCATACATCTTCGGACGAATTTGTTTTCAATAATCCTCTCAATGGTATTTTTTTCGCGAATCTATAGAAGATTCGCCACAACTTTCACACTGTACAAATATCATCACTGGTAATTAGCTATATTAATGCATAATAAATTTCCACATTGATGCAGACTAGGGAGAGAACTAGTATAGGGGTGAAAACACTCACAACTCGGCACCCCATCATGAGAGCGACGCTCGGAGGAAGTGTGGCCGCGGCCGCCCACCGTAACACCTTATATACCGCAGGTGATGTGACCCTGGGAACCGACCACACCCGCCAGCGGCCTCACCAGCACGCCTGAGGGAGGGAGCGACCCCACCCCTAACATACACCATCCCCTACCAAGGAGGAAGCCCCCACACCTCACGGAAGTCTCGCAGGAATCTTGCCGGCTGAGACATTAGCTTGTGAATCACGGAGGAGACTGTCGCACGTGTCCTCTCCAAGGATGGCTAAGTACCATATTAAATATCGTGCGAGAAGTTTCTAATCGGAAGCAAAAAATCACCCCACAATCACTGAATGACAGCCTCGCCCTTGGCTTGATAGCAGCGCGGCTGGTTACCCAGCCACAATATTAAGTGTACAACCATTTATGATTACAGTTTTGAATTTGAAAAGGATGTGTCACGCTGTAGTGGACTGATATAGGGTACCACCTCAGACAGGATACGTGAGGACCCTTACCCTCTGAGAAGACAATAAATAACATTCGAGGGAGCCAGTTTGGGCTCCGGGTGTGCACTTTTACTTTCTCCTGTTTACATATCAAACGCACTTAGATTAATATTTACGTGAAATAAACAATGTACGTGTTCCATTCTGGCTTAACTCACATCCGGAGATCAACGCTTGTGGATAATTACACCAGTTGGTAAAATAAATGCTGAAGGATTATGCCGGGAAGTCAAGCTGATTGAAATTGAAATAAGTTTTTTGAGGTATAAATACACACAAAAGGATGAGGTAACTCAAGCTATTCTCACCCCGTTCAGTACAACGTGTTCATATATTTATAGACACATCACAAACAATAAGCATATTACCGAACATTCTGAGTGATAAACATATATATTTCTTGTCAAGCTGATGATCCTGGAGGGCACGAGAGCTGCTGCTGGAGCTGGTAATGGCAGGGAAGCTGCTGGTGATGTCAACGGACGGGTAGGAGGCGTGGCAGGGCGTCGTGCCTACATCCTAAGTTTAGGAGGACAACCAAAGATGCCCAACCAGGCAATACCTCCAGATTGATTGATGATTGATGAAGATTAAGCCACCCAAAAGGTGGCACGGGCATGAATAGCCCGTAAGTGGTGGCCCTTTGGAGCCATTACCAGTATCAAGAGCTGATACTGGAGATCTGTGGAGGTGCAACGGCACCCTGCGTGACGGGAGATGTCTCCCGTCAATACCTCCACACATACCCAGGCTCTTGAATCAGACAGTTTTGGTAGTTACAACCAGCCGCGGCCGGCCGGATGACCTCATAAACTCACGTTCTCTCTCATTTCGTGATGGTAATCAATAACAGTTATTTCGAAGGTTACGCACTCTTGTGAATTAGGGCTGCACTTAGTGGCCATGCGCGGGGCGTGCTGCGCGGGGAGGAGCGTCTCACCTCCAGGTCAAGGAGGCCTTAGTGGGATCATTTCAGGGGTGACGAGGCACAGTTACAGCCCTGCTTCTGTGCCAGGTAAGTCCACAACGGGCTCACCATAGCCCATGCTACTTGGAACTTTTTGTTCCATGTAACTGAATCTTAAACAACAAAGGGTGACGAGGGGAGAGCGTTGTGGCTGCTCCACCCTGCCTCACGAAGGTATAAGTTAAGTAATAATTGTAATTACGAAGCAATAAAATGCTTATCTTAACATACTAAGAAGGTTAGGTAAGGTCGGTGTTTTCTATGAAGCTTTTCAAGGTAAACTAGTATGTTAAGTATGTCACATATGCACGTATTTAATGTCAATATTGACTATAAGAAAGTTCGAGAACGGGTTGCAGATGGCATACATCATCCCAATACTTGGCAAAAAGCAGTTATAGGTAGAAGGTAAGTAGATAGTTGTGAGATCACGATGGGTTGCTCTTAGTAATGATTGTCTTCAGGAAGGGCTGCTTTCAGTGCATTGCAGATATAACTCTCTAATCTTCAATATATATAACATACAGAGCCCAATGGGCTCGGGAACCTGTTCTTCAGTTAATTACAGGTCGAGAGGCGGAACCCAGGAGCTAAACTGTAATTCTCGCAAGCACAGTAGTCCACCGATTATGAGAAACCATGAAGTGCACAAATTCAGAAATGGTCTTGACCAAGGAATAATATTTGGTACGCGACACTTAGAAGAACAAGGGGGTGTAGCTCAGTGGTAGAGCGTTCGCTTTGCATGTGAAAGGCCCCGGGTTCGATCCCCGGCACCTCCATACCCTTGGGGATGTAGCTCAGATGGTAGAGCGCTCGCTTAGCATGTGAGAGGTACGGGGATCGATACCCCGCATCTCCAGGTTTTGTGTGTTATTACATAATGTTAATTATAGCCGGCTCCGCATGAATTACGCGTTCAGAAATCCCAGTACTTATAATATCACATATGTAAGAATAATAATACAAATAAAACAAGTGATTCGGTTATGTGTAAGTGTCCATTAAAGTATCCTGTATTTCCTTGATAATGGGGTTAGTTTAGTTCATTTATTATGCACCCCATACCCATCTTGTGGGCGGTAGTGGAAAGGGTTACAGAGGCACATAATGGGCTCAGGGACTCAACCCCCACAATTCATTTAGCTAAGCAAGTTACAATATTGATGAGCTAGTTACAAAATTCAGTATAAGTCGTCACATCAACAATGGGTTCGAGATCGACCACAAGTACAGTTTCTAAATTAAGCAACTGACATGTATGGAGAGCTAGTGTCACAATTGATAGGTTTGTCCTGCACACCGCCCCCCATCCAGTGGGCAGCGCAAAAACTTTCGGAATTTTCATTTCATTTTCCTAGTGGATACTTACGCATATATGTCAGACCAATTCTGCAAAATGCAACGCCAGCATGGCGTTATTATCTTATTAAACTTAAGCTGGTAATAAATGGTTTAGATGTAAGCCACCAGACTAGTCCCAGAACTACAAGGTTTGAGTTACGAGGAAATCAAGACTAGAGGAATTAAATCTTAAATTACTGAAGAATAAAAGAGTTAGGAAAGACATGATTACCACATATACCATTCTCAGGGGGCAGGAAGCACTAGGGCACTCTCACGAGTCAAGCCTGGCCTCGGGCCGGGCTTGGGGAGTAGAAGAACTCCCAGAACCCCATCAACCAGGTAACCAGGTAGGGCAGTCAAGCTCATGTTCTGCGATATGTGTGGAACACGAACAAGAATGGATGAAGTACATATGAGCTTCCCTTAGTTAAATCTTTTGATAAGGTACATGATAAAAGACTTGCACAGAAACTGATAGCACGCGGAATAAACAATAAAATAAAAGTAAAGGATAAAACAATGGTTAAGACAAAGAAAACAAAGGGTTGTCCTAAATAGAACAGAATCTGGCAGATAAAATATTATGCGCAAATTTTCGCATAAATCGCATTTTCGCAAAATCTGCGCAAAAGTTCCATTTTAAAGCCAACCCTTTTTAAATAAACATTGACGACATAGATGAGAAAAGTCACAAATCACATCAAATTTACAGATGACAAAAATATATGGGAAAGTGGAAATCGAAAACGATATAGAGGCTTTAGAAAACGGTCTACATAAACTCCGAAAATGAACAGAAAACTAGCATAAATATTCTGCTTTTCAATACTGAAAACGGGAAGACTGGCTATCTTATCATACATCTACATAAGCCACATGATAACAAATAGTATAATTGAGAAAATCAGTAGGAGCCGTGAGAAGGATTCGAACCCGTTTACTTGGTACTCCTAAGAGGGTTAAATCCTCCTGATGGCGCCAAATGATTTTCTCATTGATATAACCGATATTTAACTGAGACATAACTCATATATAACTGATATAACCTATATATAACTCATTGATATAAACTGATTTTCTCATTAATATTAATATAAATCACAGTGGTAATGTGAGCCCATTATGTGCCTCTGTAACCCTTTCCACTACCGCCCACAAGATGGGTATGGGGTGCATAATAAATGAACTAACTAAAACTAATGTGATTTCATTGTGTAAACAGTATAACTGCCGTCTGAACAACACCACCGGGCTGCAACAGACTGATAAGGCTTTTCATTCATAGAGTTGCAAATTGCACCTACTCTTGCCTTATCTGAATTCACATTGAAAAGGACAGATAGCCAGCGGCTTGTTATAGGTAACCCCCCCCATGCTTCTGAGGATTTCTTCCAGTCGTATAATAAACTGGAGAACAGTACTGTTTGTGTACTATAGAGTACTTTGTAGTGTACCGAATGGAGAACAGCATATTACGTCTTCAGATGTGGACACAGGGTAAACCTATACACTTTAACTGATATAATAACAGGAATCAAAAATAATATGTTCGACTCTTTGTAAAAATGGTGGCGCAGAGGCGGTAGGGAAACAAGGAATAATATTTGGTACGTATCATACATGGTTACAAGGGGGGTGTAGCTCAGTGGTAGAGCGTTCGCTTTGCATGTGAAAGGCCCCGGGTTCGATCCCCGGCACCTCCAAACCCTTGGGGATGTAGCTCAGATGGTAGAGCGCTCGCTTAGCATGTGAGAGGTACGGGGATCGATACCCCGCATCTCCAGGTTTTATTTATTACATAAATAATCATAAAACAGCGTCTCATTATCACTACCCATTATCACTTGCCAAACCTTGCACTAACCCCGCCAGTCAATGTACCATTCAGTAGTAAATTCAGACACCTACAAGTCTCCATAACTACCCAGTCATATATATACACACGCAAGACACCGT